CCTGTGACAGGCATGTAGCAAAATCCTTGAAAAACGTGAGCTGTGGGTGTTACTTGGGTCTTCACCATACCTGATCCAGGAGGAGTTCTGAACTTACTGGCAGGAAACTGGGGACCTTGGTTTCTTGGCTTTACCAGGGAATAAGGAGATGTACCAGATGATAAATAATGGTTTGCACCCAGCAGTAACCCTTTGCGATTCTGCAATCCTTTCTGGCCTCTTTGGAAGTCAGCTGCGGGAGCCTGATTCCCATCATTCCAACCTTCTGGCCCTTATTGCCGCCCCTGTTCAGCACTGCTCCTGCCGCCCACTCTCCACCTAGCTGGCTATCCAGGTTGACCTCAGCAATCCCCTGGGACCTGACTTCCCAAATTTGTGCACCAGCTTCCCACACTGAATACAGGCCCGTGATAGCACACCGACACTCACTGGGAGCGGGGCACTAAAGCACTTCCGGAACCCATGTTAACCCGATTGGTCTAAATATGATTTTCAAATAAAGTTTCATTAAATGGGGGTGGCACTGAAATCCAATTTCCTTATATACAAGCGGTCCAGACAAGTCAAGATCTAAGATGACTCCCAGAACTATTTAATATGAGAGCTGCAGGGGGCAGGAATTATTGTGCCATATCCGCACACGTAGCATATTATGGTTCCTCAGTGATATTGAGGGTATGATGGATGAATACATATTGGGATATGATTTTTAAAAAAACAAGGAACTGACTCCCTATCTAATGATTCAATTTATAACAATGTTGTTTTTTTAATCCAATAATCCTCAAATATTTTATCTCCATCTCATAGGTTACCAGGTATTATCTTCCTGACCTGAATTCATGCTCTTGGTGATTTCCATTCTCAGAACTGCAGTTGATGACAAGTTAGAAAAGGAAAATGGAGAAGGATGCCTGTTTAATGTCTCTGCTGCTGGTTGAGGTCCCACTGTTCTGGATACCTCAATCTTGACCTTGAACTTCCTCTGGAATTTCTTGAGGAAACCCAACCTCCATATGAAAAAGACAAGCTTTTACTGATTTCTACTACTTTTTTTTTTTTTTGGCTTTTAATCTAGAAAAACTGAGGCACTAAGAAGAAAGTATCATCCTAGATCTAGTGCTCTAATTCAGCTCTGTGTGCCTAACTATAAAAGTATTTTAGTGTTTATAGACAAAACTAAAGTCCTTTTAGCCCTTCAGCCATCAGCCGCATAGCGATTAAGAGATGATGGTGAGCCCTGTCTAACAGCATGATAACGGTGGCAGCAGAGCTCCAAGATGCTCCTTCGGCAGGTCCAGGAGAATGTCAGAGGCCCAGGGCAAGGGACTTTGCCTCCTTCCCAATTCTCTGTCTTAGAAAGACCTCTATCATGGGGGCAGCAACATTTCCTATAAAGGAATGGGTAGTGTTTGACTCTTGGGGCCATTTGGTCTCTGCAACAACTACTCATCCCTGCTGCTATAGTGCCAGAGGCAATGCCTAAATGTATGAGTGTGGCTGTGTTCCAATAAAACTTTATTTACAAAAACAGGGAGCAGGGGTGGATTTGGCTCACAGGCCTTAGTTGCCAGACCCCTGAATTTTCGATCATGGAGTTGTGCAATATAGGGTAATACCAACATGTGGGGAGTCACTACGATTCTCATCCAACCCCCTTTGGTATGTATGATTTTTAAAAAATAATATTTTGTTTCTTTCTCATTATGAAAATAAGACATCATTGTCAAAACTTACAGAAAAATAGAAAAGATAAAAAATCCTTCATAATGCCGTCAGACATACTACTTCTTAATATTTAGAAATATTTTGTTTTGTTTGGGATTTTTGTTTGTTTTATAGGATCAGGATAATTATATCTATCTATCTATCTATCTATCTATCTATCTATCTATATATATATATATAAAATCTGAAATGCAAATTTACCCAATTCCCTTATTTTTATGTTATTTCCTACATAAGTTTAGACTTAATTTTACTAGTTTCTATTACATAGATGATTTGTTTTTTTCAGGAGCACGTTCCTCCAAGGTCAGGGTGTAGAATAACCCTGGAGAGAAGGGGTGTGTGTGTGTGTGTGTGGTGTGGTGTGTGTGTGTGTGTGTGTGTGTAAACAACTCATTACTAATATTGTTTCTGCCACCCCCCCATGTTAAAAACCATATAAGCCCTTCAGGAAATTGGCCACAAGTTGTCTACAACCCAAGCTTTGAGAAGTATGTGGGTTTGACGGGCTTCAGGAAATGGTCCACCAAAATACGGCACGTTGGCTTTTGAATATTTTCAGCTGAAGGAATTTGAGAAAACAGCAGCAGCAGGAAGGTCATGCTGACCTTCTCCCCGCCCTTCTCCCAGAAACAGGTCATAAAACCCCCATGTGAGAGCTGCCCTCCCTACACCCAGGGGAAAAAGCATCCTTATCTCCAAGGACGAAGAAAGGCCGAGAAGAATCTGAACAAACAACAAGCAGGACTCGCTAAGTTTCCCCCAGTTATTACACTAGCCCCACGCTCCTTAACCTATCATGTTCCTCCATGAGTCTCCACTCTTCATCAAACCTATCACAGAAATGCTCGGGTCTAACTAATTCTTCGGGTCTTCATTTCTTTGTGTCATGTAAACGTTATGTTCAATCAGTTTATATGCTTTCCTCCTGTTAATCTGTCTTTGTCAGTTGAAATTTTCAGACCCAGATAGGGATCTTAAGAGAGTCACAGTAAACTTTCTCCTCCCCTACATGGCAGTATATCAGAAAAGGGGTTCCTATATTGGGGCGGGAGGGCTTCAACCATCCTTTGATTTCGGTTGAGGACTCATTCTCCAATCCAGATAATACTCAGGCATCCGCCTCTCCATTTTTCCTATTGGTCACTTATCTAATCATTGGCATCTCTGCGGAGAATGTAAGTTCTGATTTCCAAAAGTTTACAGGAGATACTATGTAAAACCTGATGCTAAAAACACAAGCACTTGGATTTTGTGTGGCTTTTGTATTTCACATACTGCCCTTGTGTGTTCCTAAACTAAAGCTGAATCTTTCTATTCTGTTGCTAAAAAGGGTTGCACTTACTGAGAAAAACAATAGGGACCCAGGACATGATTTTTGACATGAATGAACTAAGATAGACACAAAGTTAAAGAATGGAAATAAATGTAACAGGCCCTGTTACTTTCTTTGTAGGGTGAACGTTATAAGTTGGACAGAGATTTACTCTCAGGCTCTTGTCAGACCATATTTGCTCAGCAAATGAGTAACACAAGGCAGCTGGAGTTATGCTGTTTTTAATGCATGGAACATAATTTTTTTAAAGTACTTAGAAACCAGAGACTTGTAGTGTTGCCTGTGAGAATACAAACTTGGCCACAGACATACATATCCCTTCTTTGCACATCTGGGAAATAGGGATGATGATAGTGATCTGCCTCTGGGTGGCTGGAAGGATAAAATGAAATAATTGATACAAATCCTGGTGGCTAACTTGGAATGAGTGCAGAAGGAATGTTGCTATTGTTTATTATAGTCAGTGAGGCAATTACAGTTCTCGATGACTATTACATTCTCGCAGACCTTTTATTGACATTTTACTTGTTATAGTTTGTTTCTCTATATGTGTAAAGGTAATAAGACAATTAGGCTATAAATCACACCATTAACTCATTTCAATTAGACTGTCCTCAAATTAATACTAATTAGTGATGTTTATGTGTCATTTCAATAAAGGTTAGAGTGATGTTTGATTTGCAATACGACTGGGAGGGAAAAATCAGTTTTGTTTGTCTTACGAATAAATGAAGGAAGCTAATATACAGTGAAGATGAAATAATGACTTCAAGCATTATTCAGTCATGTAGTGTGCTCCTGAAAATATCACTTACAATGCCAGGCAGGAGGAAAAATCCCTCTAGCCTGCTGCACCAAACTAGGATGGGAAAGAGAGCAGAGCATCATGCTCATCAAAAAATCAAGTTAAAAAAAAAATGTTGGATCTGTTTCCAAATGTTCAATCATTTGAGTTTATCCGAACAACTTAGGACACATCCATCACCTACTTTAAACTGTTTAAGAAAAAAAAAGCTCAGTTTGGGAGGGGGAGCGGAGTTGGCTGCTTCTAATATATTGCCAACATGGCTTAGTATTTTCCAAACTCATAGGTCTTCTATCCCTTCTGGTGGCGAGAAGATCCAAAAAGCTCCCCTGGTACAGAAACCAGCATTTCCCTAACTTGCCAACCACAAGTTACCTGTTGAAGCACACATTTCCAGACAGCTCCAGGGAGTGAGCATTTCTAATAAGTCACTCCAGTAATCAGGTGTGGGCAGCCCTTCCCAGCAGTGGTTCTCAGCCCTGCCCATGTCCTGGAACCTTTTGGAGGACACAGACCGCAGCAGCAGCGACGACTGAAGCCCAGGCCCCATCCCAGACAAAGTGCGTCAGAATCTCTGCAGTCATCCTGGCCATGGAGTTTTCTAAAAGTTGCCCAGGTGATGCCAATGTGTAGCCAGGTCTGAGAAATGCCACGCTCTTCCCTTGCTACTCAGTGCCATCAGCAGACCGGGATGAGTGGCCCTGGCATCTGGGAGCTGGTTAGAAACAAAGAATCTCAGACCCTGCCCCAGATCCCTCAGGGCCAATCTGCATTGGAACAATTCTTCCAGGATCTCCATGCACACAGAAGGTTGGCAAGACTGTTCCAATGGCCGCTAACAGAATACATATCTTCCTACCCCTCTCCCTCTTCCCACTGTACCACCAGCAACACAGTAGCTTAAAACAGCTCCAGACATTTTTCTTTCTTTATCCCCTTGGCCATTGAAAACCAGCTGAAGACGGACAGGGTGAAACCAACCTATCTGTCCCCAAATCACTTATTAACGTATGTTACACCGTGTACACTGCTCTGACCCAATCAAATGCCCCAGCAAATTTTAAGCGGCAGTTTCTGTTTCATGTCCCATAACCAAAGACATTAAGGATCACTAGCGTTCACATCCGTGAATTCATTTAGACAGTTTTCTTTAATTAACGATGAAGACACTGCAGTGCTCAAGTACCAGACAGAATCAGGAAGGGGGGAAAAATCTGAAAATAAGCATATAACACTAGAAAGAAAACTTGGAAAAGTGAAACACTTCTAAATAAAAATATATACCTGGCCTGGTACCCGTTACATATATACATAATACATATGTTATACACATATATACAGTAAATGTTTTGGTAGCAATACAGACCATGCATTGGTCCTTTTGTACACAGATGAAGTAGCACCAGGAACAGCACCACCGTCTTAAGATGATAAACCAAACTGCACATACATTAAATGAAAAAATATATATGTATTTAATTTGGCCCACCCTGTAGCCAAGAGGTGTAAGGAAAGAGCTTGGTAAGAAAAATTGTTCTGGGAACGACATTCTTAAGCCAATAGCAAAGTTCTAAAAAGAAAAATATATATTTATATAACAGCACTGAAAATGTCTATACAAATAACAGACACGTTTTCCTGTTGACTGAATTTGTCCTGTCATGTGGCATATTGGTTAGCTCTGGGGAAATGCACCACAGAAGCAGAGACATGGAGATGCCAGGCGGATGGCTGAAGTCTAAAACACCGGATCTCTTGGTGTATACATCACAAATGCCAAGTCATCAACAAACCAGGGAAGAAAGACAACTCTCCAGCTAAGCCACACGTTTTCTAATCTTATTAGTTGATGGTAAGCTCTTTATCACTGATAAATTCCTTACGAGTAAGGTCAAATACCTGCAATATCCCTAGGTAGTGATAGCACCAGCACCTACCTCGATGCTCTGGTTACAAGGAGGGAAACCCCAACACGCCATCTGACCCATACATTCTCTACCTACACTTAGGAGGCTGATTTATGGGGCCATGAAAGGGCCTCCAAGGTTTTCTCTGGCTTGGCTTTGGACATGACCACAGGCACTAGTGTTTAACCCTTAATATTCTACTGACTCTGAGGAGGTTGTTTTTGCTCTCCACCACTAAGCTCACAGACTGGAGGTCTTTCTCTTACTATTGACAAGGTCACGTTTCTTCGTATCCCCAGAAGTGTGTGCTTCCTCCTTTTCAGTTTCTCAGCAGTCCATACGAATGCAGCACTACCGCCAGCTAACACTCACAGTGTCCTAGGAACATTAACTCCCCTGTCAAGTCATTGCAAAGAAGCGATTTCATATTTGGCTTCCATCCATTCTCCTTCACATGCCGTCCAAAGAGTTCTGTCTCTCCCCAATCAAGGTCTTAATTCCCAGTGCCTGGGGTTTCAACGCCTCCTTGTGTGATGGACTGACCTACAGAGCTCTGCCAAAGTAGTCGGAGCACGTCACATCTATCCCATTTTTCATGGCTCTATTTGTCAGTGGATGAGTTCCCTTAAAAACTAGAGCTTTCTAAACCACCTCTAGTACATAAAATTGAAGTTTTCAACTACATGGCATGAACAAAACAGGGCTTCGGGATTATATACTGTTTCTTATGGTATAGTAAAGTTGCTTTTTAATGCTTTGTCTCTGATTTAAAAGACAGCCAGGAGACAACAGTCAGGGAAAGAAAGGTTAAAACTCTACTTCTGGCTAGATGAATTTTGGTAAATCCATTTTTTTGCAGTCAACCTAGATTAGTCAAGAGAGTCCCTGACCTTTGAAAGTTAGCAAGAAATAGCCACAGTGTAACATCGGTACTGATTTCTCATTATTGACTCAGGCAGTTGATCATTAATGGATTCTCTTCACTTTCTAGCTGGTTCTAGGACTTTTTTTTTTTTTTTTGCCCAGAATGAAGATATCATGGAAGTCATGAAACATACTTGTTCTTTCCACAAAGGAGAATTTTAAAACTCTGCCTAAGTCTCTAAGAAAGAACGCTGTGAAAGGTTGGTCTCAAGAAGAAACAGCCACTAACCCACAGGTTAACTGGAGGCCACCAGGAGCCCCATTAACGTAAGCCCTTGGCTGGCCTACAAACACTTTGAAATGGAGAAAAGCCAGCTCTCCTCAATAGAAACTGAACACAAGGGCTTAGCAGCTGATGCTGCTCAAGATAAACTCCTCGAGCAGCCAAGATCATGAGCTTTTTGCCTTAAATACCAGCAACTTCCAGTTTTCAGGCAGTGAAGTTTGATACCACCATCAAACCCAGCTCAGGGACCACTAGCAGCTCAAATAAGCATTTCTACCCTTATGCTATTTGACTGAACAAAAACATCAGAGAAATAGAAACCAAGAGATGGATTTTTCTAGTCTGTTCATTTCTGTTCTCACCCAAAATACGCTGATCATTCCACAGGCAGCGGTATCTTGGTAATAATATATAATAGCTCAAAGTTTAGGTTCTTTGAGAAATAACCAGCTTTGCAGGAAAATGGCTGGGGCTGACTTTGTTCACTGACTTCTGTCCTCCGTGGAAGAGAACAGGACAGCCTGCTTCCCTCCTGCACTACTAGAAAGAGTATGAGTCAGAATACTTGACAAATGAAAGTTAACTTTGACCAACAAAGTCTTTTTCATAAAAGAGTAAAAAAAAAAAAAAAGAAAAGAAAAAGGAAACTTTCATATCAGAGTTTTAAAATTGGTAGTGTTCTCTCCTGATAGGAAATGATGTAATTCAGCAAGTTCCTTGAAAACAATGGATTCTTATGATTACAGACCTATTCATCTTAGAAATTGATGAGCATGCAAATGATTAGACTCTGCAACAATGAACATTGTACAACAGTCTGTGAGGTACATGCCATCCGGTTGAATTAACAGTAACACAGGCCTCAGCAGGGTGAGGGGTTCCACTTATCTCTACTCCCTTTTGAGTAGAGCAGGGGTCCCTGGCCAGGTGATGAGGGGCAGCAGCCACTGCAGTGCCCCCCAGCCATGGCCCCCTCCTTGTAGCCCCATCCCCACCCAGGGAGCACTACCCTTCAGAGAAATAAAATGTTGTTCCTCTCAACAGCAGGGCTGGGAATTTCTGATACAAAGTTTACACAGACTCCGAGGGAGCCTGATATTGGCATTTATTCACTTGGCCTATAGGAAGTTTCCTGGTAAAAAGGTTAAAAACTCTGTAGGCAATATCTGTAAGTACGTTCATTGCCATTTCCTTTTCACAAGGAAAAATTTCAAGATGTGTGTACTTTCCAAAGAAGAAAAGGATTAACATTTTCACTGCTGGTTAGGTGTTTCAAGAGCAGGTCATTGAGCTTTGATGGGCTCTCTGTACACTGGGTTTTGTGAACTAATCGCTAAGAGGCTAATACCCACCAGGGCAAATGGGCCAAATTACATTCAGTTCAATAATGGAACACTGGAAGGTCTCAGAAAACAGGAGATACGTCTTAAAGAAAGTGACAAGTAGCCCTGGTCATGACAAAAAGCACTTTCTGGAATTTTAATTTCTGGTTAGAAATTAAAGACAAGTGTTCACTTGTCTTACCATCTTTCTTGAGACCGCGCAGGAAACGAAAAATCCTAGTGTGTGCACTGAAGAAAATGGTGGAAATGGGGCAGGAAGCTTACAGAAGTGGGGGGAGAGGGAGAAGAAAAGAGCAACAGTCTAGTTTATTATGAATAGAAAGAAATTTCCAGAATTTACAAACACCCACATTGTTCATTCCAGAGAGCTTTTGACTTGAAGGAGTCACCCATGTCTCCTTCTCTTTACAGTATGTACAATGGAAGACTTTGATTTCCTTTTCTTGTAATTTTGCTTCCATTCAATGGCCAATTTTAAGCTGACACTTGAAAAGATCCAGTAGAATATATCCTTCTTCAGTTTAATTAACACGGCCTATTGCCTTACAGGAAAAAATACAAAATTAAGATCAATTCTTGTAAGGATCTCAGCTCAACATCAGGGCTATATTACAAGAGATAGTATCAGCAAATATAACTATACAATTGAAAAAACCATCTATGGCACTATGATTCTTATATTATTTTTCTGAATTACAATCTTAAAACAAGGGTCGTACCCCATTCTACTCTTGTTAGCCTTGTTTTAAGCACTTGATCCACTCTTTACAACAGAACATTGTATACCTCAGGTCCACATCCAAAAAAAAAAAAAAGATGTGCGCTGTAAGAAAAGTTACACTTTAATTAAAAAAAATTACACATATAAATCAAAACCTATGTTAAATATTTAATACTCTCTCCACCCAACGCGAACCGTTTTGCATGAAATAATTTACAAGGACGCTTTGTCGCACAGTTTCAGCAGCAGATGAAACATGTCGTGTAGATGCAATGAGAGTACACCCATTCTCTCGTGGCATGGTGGGCACATCCGCTCACGTGGCCAGCCAAGTCCTTACGGCTGAAAATGAAGATTTATGCAGACCCATTGTTCCGGTGTCCGGTGTCACAGTGCTTTTTTTTTTTTTTTTTTTTGCTTGGCACAATATAGAACGTGCAGTTCAGTCAACGAACTCCTGAGGATTGTATAAAGTAAACAAACTGAAATGGATGCATCGTACCATCTGCCAAGGAGGAAGATGCGAGGTCCTGGTTGTGAATCATGAAATATTCAGAGTCTGGGTACCCATGAGTTGAAGGAGGATTTGCTGAGGTCATTTAGGTCTTCATTCTGAAAAGGGAAATGAAGGAATCGGTCATCACAGGCATCACAAAAGGCACGTTCAATCATTTGGTTAGGGTTGTGCTTTAAAAGAGGAGGCATATCAGATGAACCGAAGGTACAGGCACAAACAGCGCTGTGTGCTTAAATAAAATCAACAAACTATATTTAACTTCTTTTTTTTTTCCTTTCAAAACGCAAGAGTCTAAAGCAATCACAAACTCCAAATAGTCAATATTAAGTCAGTAAACAAATCAATGTGAGGTGGAGGTTTCAGAAGCTTAGCAACACAAAAACACACAGTGCTTTGATGTCCTTGTGATCAAAACAAAAATGTACATTATGGTTATTGTGCAAAACCACTACACAATATGGTGAGCAGGTTACAGTCAGGCTTTGCTGAATCTTCTTTTGGTTAAAAGTCAATTGCAAATGTCAGAATTTGATGTTGCAAGGCTTAACATTACAAAATCTCAAATCAGTTTTTAATGTGACATTGTTTGACATGAAAATTTTAGATACAAAAGGAGACCCAAGCAAGACAGACCTAGTTAATCATTAAGTTAAAAAAGAATTCTGATTAAGGTCTACCAGAATTACATTATTCTGATAGAAGCACATTTCTTCTATGCTACTCAAGAAGGCAAACACCAAGGGGGCATTATCCGTTTACCTCCCAACAGGAGACACCTTTTGAAACCTCATCAAGTCTCTTTTGCTCTCAAGTATCAACATTAGGGAGGCCTTCTGAGGTCCATATTTTTCATGCTTTCAAAAGTTCTGTATAAACATCAATATTTACAGAATGTCCTGAGCAGAGTAGTTAATCAATACATACTTGTTGAATGAGTAAAAGGGTTGCCTTCAGTACTATGGAGGTTATAAAGTTGAATTCGGCTATAAGCTTTGCTTTCTAGAAATTCTGGAAAGGAAGGTTAAGCTCCATTCATAAATAGACAGAATGCAGAGTAGATGGGGAAACTCCATGAGAGGTGCATAAGAAGAAAACTCTAGGTGCACGGAAGAGGGCAAGAACCCTTCCGGCCAGGAAGATAAGGGCTGATGCACTGGCTTGGTTTGGAGGGAGGACAAAGACTGGGATGTGCAAACTGGGATTGTGTCTACTTGTATGTTGCTTCAGCTTAGCATCTCCAGAGCTTAGCACAAGGGCTGGCCCACAGCAGGTACTCACTGGATGGGAGCTGCACGAATGATAGGGACAAAGTACACATCCCACGGAGGGCCCAGGATACAACAAAGCCCAGGGGGATGAGAGCTCAGCGAGGGACAGGCCGAGGGAAGAATGATGCTTCTTCCCTGGAGCCCCAGGCATCTGGAAAGGGGTACAAGGAGCGAAGTCCACAAATGCAGGCTGGGCTGGATGGTGAAGAGCCTTCAATGTCAGGCCAAGACGCGTTTATCTAAATAGAGGCACAAGGGCCTGCTCTGTGTGACATGACCAAAGTGCAGCGGTAATAATCCATGTCAGCCACAAGGACAACGAAGGGCTCTAAAATCCGCACAATGAAAATGATGAACAGTAGAACTGCTTTTTATTTTTCTCTCTCTTGAAACGGAATATGACTGGGATCGTCAGCATTCACTGTGTACACACATAATGGCTTTCAGGTAAGTTGAAATTTACCAAAGAAAGAATTTAGTTGTAGGAGGAGACTTCTGCTTATTTTAAAATAGCAACTCCGCCCCTAAACAACAGGTGAACCGTCTATTTTTCTGCTTATTCATAAAGACTTGACGTGAAGACGCCTGTGTGAAAACAAGACACACTCCGGGTGTGGCCTTTTAGTTGCCAGAGATACAAGGTTTATTCTGTGTGGTTTCTACAAGTGAAAGGCAAACCCATCCTTTCAAAAACCCTAGAGAATGGGTCTACAGCTCTCTTATTTAGTGTCAGGCTTCTCCCAAACTCATGTTGTGATCTATCAGTATATCTAGATACAGCTTAACACAGCCTCACAGCCCTGGGCCTACAATTAAGTAGGGAAGCCATACAGCATAAAGGGCTGAGACAAACAAACAGCAGAATGGAAAATGAGGGAAAAGTGAAGGTCACATGCGTGTTTTTCATTTTACGTCTGGCTCTCCTCTAGAATGGCTGCATGAACAGCTTAGCACAGGGACAAACTGCATCCACTGTTGTCATCATATGTGCCAACCTGCATGGATGCAGAAGGGGGGAGGCTGGGAACCCTATGAGTTGAGAAACAAAATACAACTTCACCAGGTGTTGAAATCTATTGCTTTGGGACACTCTGGAACTATCCCTGTAATTTTCCACTACTATGTATGCTCAGAGAGCAGGAAATAAAAGGGTCTGTCAATTCCATCCTATACCTTCCCTCCAAAGCCTTAGCCCACACACCTGTCACTAATGGTGCCTGCTGGTGCCATCAACTCAGGCGTCCACAAGGAAGTGAAAGCGTCAGGTGATGCTGATGGAGGGGACGGGAATGGAAGGCAATACATAGGCGATAGAGGCTGAAAAGAATGTAAAGGGCATGTCTGAAGTTCACATCTGCTTATCTTTGCACAAGGGTGTGTGTGTGTGTGTGTGTGTGTGTGTGTGTGTGTGTGTGTGTGTGAAGTTTAGCTACAGAGTGATGACATGGATGTTTAACAGACACCCCTCAGTGAGAACTGTCCTTCATGGCAACCACCTTGGGGTCTGCATACTTATTCTAATCAGGGGGCCATTGTTCGAACATTTTTGGAATGCCTTCTCAGGTTCCCATTTCTTTTTTGCCTTCTGAGCCTCGGGTCTGTTCTTTTGAATGGTCTCTATAGCAGCCAGTCTTGGCCCTTGGAGGGCCCATTTGATCTTTGGAGGCAGCCAAAAAGCTTTGAGAGACAAATATGGTGAATAAAGGGGCTGATTAAACAGGGTAAATGGTTCCCAGAGCGGTATTATCGAAAGCCAAAGAACTCCAAAGCTGAAGTTCCCCAAACAGAGCTGTTCACAACGGCTCTGATGAGTTTTGTTGGAAAAGAACCCTCAAAACGTTACAGACAGACCACAGCACATGCTTCACGGACTTAAGTTCATCTGCCCGTATCCTTGTCACTACATGCTTGTCATCAAGAAGGGCTGAGCCTGAATAAAGCAATGCACTTGAAAAGAGGCAAACATGTAATCATTTGTTTTTGTAATTTAGGAATTTCGTTGTTTTTTTAAAAAAAGCAATCCCCATACTAGGCTCTCAGTCATTCAATTCAACAAATGTCTACTGAGTGACAAAAATGCAATTATAAAGACTAGCATAATCACCGAAAAGGAAGACATGGGTATTCATATGTCTAATGCACTTTATATACACAACCCCAATTGACTCACACCCACCGTGCAAGGCAAATATTGCTCCGATGTTTTACAAACACAAAAACTCATTTGTAACACACATAAACTGGAAACAAAAAAGCAAAACGTTTCCTTGGGGAAGAGCTGTGCAAATATCAAATGAGGATGCTCCTGTGATACGTGTCCTCGTGTTACAGCATTGGGGAATAACTTCTGAACCCAGAAATACGATGCACCTGTCACTGGGTTTAGTAGCAGGAAATTACATTTTGACAAAATTCCATCACCACGTCAGCATCTATTGTAGCCTTCCGTGTGTCTTCTCATAAGATAAAACCCACCTAATCCTGTTCCCAGTAATGAAAAATGTAATTTTTAAAGCATTATCAAATAAGTCAACACTGAGCAATGCTCCTTGAGACCTATGGATTATTGCATTATTGCATCCAGTAGGGATTTACATCTTCTGGACCCGACCCACTTAAACTCTGCCTACCAGAGCTGAAAAACAAATAAAACTTCTACTGCCTTTCATATGGTCAGCCTACTGATGAGTCTTCACCGTGAAAGCAGCTGACAACAGCACAAGGTTATGATGGAAGTTCAACAGAGGAGGAATCTGCACCCTCTCAGCAATGCGTCTCTAGCCAAACCCATTGATGAAAAGTTTTGGTCTTGTATTTAAATGCCTTGAAATTTCCTGCCCATTTGTTGAATCAAGGGCAACATAGCTACAAGTATCTGGTTTAAAGCATTGTTATTTACTAAGAAAATAGGGATAAAATATTATCATTGAACTATGCTGGAGAAAAAAATGACTACATAATAACTATTCTTCCATGGAGAGCATTGTTTGAAATCTTATACTGTGGATCTAACTAGAAAAATTTGTATAAATTCCTCCAGTTAAAGAAATGTGTCAAAACAGCATATTTCTCTTTCTCTTAACATATACGGCTATGGCTTAAAAAACATTCTTCAGTCATATAGAGAAATTCCTGGGTATGATATACAAAAATGTTTAAAAAGGAGAGGAAAGTGATGTTTCCATGATATTTAAATCTTTCCCATTCTTAAAATCTGTGATGAGAAAACATATGACATGTTAACCAACTTCTTAAACCTTCTAAGTAGGCTATCCTCTTCCTGTCCTCCCGATTCATTGTGTAGGGGGCAAGTATGGCAGTTTCACAATAAAAAAAGCCTCTGGCTTCCTGGCTTTGGTTTCCAAAAGCCTAACTCCTTAAGGGAATGGCACATGCAAAGTATTTGGAAGAACCAGGAGAGGAGAATCACTCCTCTCAGAGCCGAAAGAGACTCCCACCCCCTGGGAATCCTAGAGGGAGATAGGGTGGGAGGAACACGCAAGCAGAGAGGTGGGTGGGTGGCCCTGTCCCTTGAAGGATGCTGAGCATGGCACCTGTGACATCTCTCTCTGTATCTTCTCTTCCCAGGTCGGCTCATTTTTTATGTCACGCAATTATATTCAATTGCATACCACTCCCACCACCACCACAATCCATTTCTTCAGCTGCCTCACTGATGCTGGTGCAATTAATTCATGGTACCACTGACGTAGAGCCGATCAAGCCTTCTGGAATGCTTCCATATTAATGAAACAAAACACCTTATAAAACATGGCAAAAGTACCGTTTTTAAGGATACCTGAAACCTGGCAAATGGGCCCAGTAAG